GTTATTTCCCTGGGTTTTCTGAGAGTGCTTTTGTTCTGATTTTCCCCTTGTTTCGCTTCCAAGCCAAAGGTAATTCAAAAGCATACAGATTTCCTCGGATTTCCCCTCCCACCATTTTGCTGCCCCTCAAAGGTGACTCCCCCACTGACATTGAGGTCATTCCATCCACTATGCACCTTCTACCAACCTCCCCCCCTTCATTGGTGTACAATTTTTATTATTTATTTATTTACATGAGACTTATATACCGCTCGTAACCCCTAACGGGTCTCAGATCGGTTTACAGGGGCGTTCTTACGAACTTGTTAGCCCTATCTAAGGCCACATACAGAGGGGTGGGGGTTCCCTACCACAACCCTGCGATAGGTCCGCTGCGTTTGGCTTCTTGGCAGCTCTCCTTCTTCGGCGGTTTTTCCACTGGTCGGCTGCTTCTTCTCTCCTTGGTGGGACTAACTTACCAGCGCCTGTCTTCGCATCTGTTTCAGCCTCGGCTCTGTCCTGGCTGGCTCCGCCGCGCTCACAGTACACGTCATCAGGTGCCGGCGCCAGTCTCCACCGCAGTCTTTCACCGCCAGGGATCGTTCGACCGATGTTTTTCTTGCCATTGTATCCGGCTCCTCCTCCGCCACCGCCACCATTGATGTTTCCTCGCCGAACGCAGCTGCGGCCACCACAAACCTCTTTCGTTACAGAGGCAGGTGCCCCCCACCCTTCTAAGGGTGGGTACCCATTTGCCTACTCGCATTATTTTAATCGCTTTCGGGCCACTGGGTGGGCTCCATTTTCCCCTTGTTTTAAATTTTTTAAAGCTAATCTTGCAATATGAGACTATTGCTAGTCTCGGATTGCTGAATTAAAAAAAATTAAATGATGAGGGAATGTTTAAAAGGAGCTGCATGAGGTTTAGTTCCCTGCTGGTATTGACTTGAGAAGGGATTGGAGAGGAGGTGAACGGCATCCTCCTCAGTGCAAACAAAAAAAAGGATTTTAGTGCTGCATGAAAACAAAATAAAGGGGGGGGCTCCTCAGTGTGGACTGAAATTGACATGAGATGCAAAGAGAGACAGACACTGGGATGGGAAGCCTAAATCTTTGAAAACATTTTTCCCTTTAATGCTTTAGTGAACAAAGTTTGGGGAGAACATAAGAGACGCCAATGTTGGATCAGGCCAAAGGCCAATCCAGCCCAACACTCTGTATCACACAGTGGCCAGAAATACCAGTGCCATCAGGAGGTCCACCAGTGGGGCCAGGACATTAGACGCCCTCCCACTGTTGACCCCCCCAAGCACCATTTTGGGAGTCTCTGGAAGCCGAACATTAAAATGGTGGCTGAGCCACATGGACTTTCTGCAAACTGCCAAACTTAAGAATTGCTTGGGATTGATCCATTTGGAGGACAGAGTGCAATCCACATAGGACAAGCTCTAAAAAACTGCCAAGACCACAACCAGTGTACAGGATCAAATTAGAGAATCACAAAGAGAAAACTATGCAGATTTGCAAGGAAGAGCAGGAAATCAGCAGTACTATGCAGGTGAGCTAGGACATTGGTGAAAATTACCCACCCACCATTTTTTTCAATTTAGTGGTACAAAACTAAAAAAAAGACTCATCCCCCATACAAGTTGCAGCCCTGTGCAAAGCGTGGTGGAGTAGCAGCCAACTTTACACAGGTATGTGCGCGCAAACACACACGTTGTCAACTACCACAGCTTGCAGTGGCAGTGTCAGTAGTTTTTGCCATGCATTCTGTACTCTGTACACTCAACATGTTTCCCCATATTATGAGATTGTGTGACTCTATCCTATTTTTCACCGTGGCCAATAACACAGCAGTGTTCAGCAACATGGAAAACAGGGCTTCACAGCTGCTTGTGAGTTTTTTTAAAAAAAGTCTAGTCAGTTTCAACATTGGGTGTTTCCCTCTTTGCCTGCATTCCTTTCTGTTCCCTTTCATCCAATGAACTAATGCTGAAATGCATGCACAAAACCTTAACCACGAAGATTTAAATGGAAGGCACTTGCTGGATGCTACTACACAGCTGTGATAGGGCACTTGCATAAATGGTTTGGAAAACTTTGTACGCAACACATCACAAGTGATGTTCCATCCCAATTTAGAAACGTGTGTTTTTAAAAATTGTAGCTGCAGAATAAATACACCAGAAGTAAAAGAACAGTGTGTACGGTGGGCACATAATCCGGAGTCAAGCTTAAAGGCTTACTGCTCAGATCATCTGCAGTAAGATGTGCATGCATAATGGGCCTAGCTGTCCTCTTGGGCTTGGATTCCTCATTAATTCTCTGCTGATGGAAAGTATTTTATTCAGCAAATGGGCCTCTCCCATCCCTAAGTACAGTGCAAAATAATGCCCGAAATGTTGCTTCTGGGGGATAGCCCCCCCCCAGGTACAGGATTAGCAGTGCAGGGAGGAGTTGGAGGTTTGCAGTGAAAGGGGGAAATCTCTGGGGAATGCCCTCCCATTTTCTATGGGATTCAACCAATGCTCCCTTAAGCTGTGGAGTCTTGTGGGCAAAAATTCTACTTTGTGAGCTACTGGCATTAAAGTTGTGAGTGAGCGCTTTGGCTGCGGCATAAATTAGTTTGCTCTGGAGCGATCCTTCCTGAGCTAAGACAGAAATGTGTGAGCTGGAGGGTAAAAAACTGTGAGCTAGCGCACACTAACTCAGCTTAGAGGGAACACTGGATTCAACCTGCACTGGAGTGCAGGAGAATAAATTCAAACCAGACCAAGATCAGATACCACTGAATAATATCTCTTTAACAATCTGGAGACAAGCTAGTAAAAGGTAAAGGTTCCCTTGCTCGAAAGTCAGTCGAATCTGACTCTAGGGTTGCGGTGCTCATCTCCGTTTCCAAGCCAAAGAGCCAGCGCTGTCCGAAGACGTTTCCGTGGTCATGTGGCCGGCATGACTAAACACCAAGGCGCACGGAATGCTGTTCCCTTCCCACCGAAGTTGTACCTATTTATCTACTTGCAGTTTCTTGCTTTCGAACTGCTAGGTTGGCAGGAGCTGGAACTAGAGATGGGAGCTCACTCCATCATGTGGCAACTCGGGTCTCGAACTGCTGAACTACCGACCTTCCACAGCCTGCAGTTCCGCGTCTTAACCACTTGAGCCACCACAGCTCCAGACAAGCTAATACAGAAGTGTTATTAGTCAAGAAAAGTTTGATAAATTAACGCTGCAATCCTGGGAGTAAGCCCCATTGAATAGACCACCGTAGGATGCTGAGTAGTCCTGTTTAGGATTGTCCTCTAAGGGTATAATCTGCTGCGCGTCGCAGCTGTTCCATCACCCTACATTTTAATTGATATCTGTTCCTTGTGATACTGTCTGATGAGTGAGCTCTTCATTGGACAATCTTCACTTTCTGGACCTCCTTTGTTTTCAGAGTGTGAGTGAGTGAGAAAGGAAAGATGTTACATGATTCTTTAAAGAAAAACAAGACACAACACACACACACACACACCGCCCCCGAAGATAAGACCTAATGCTTCTGTTTCAATGCAATTAAATGTTATTCTTCCCATAATTTCTCCAGCACTCTGTAGGAACAGTGGCCAGGATTGTTCATGAGAAATGGTGAGAAGGACTAAGATTTGTGGGGGACAAGGCTTAGTGCTTGCAGATATTAATTAATAAATTTTGAAATGTGCTGCCTCTCTAGAGTTCCACTCGAGGAGACTTATACTTAAACCCTTCCTTTCCCTCTATCATTAGAACACTTTCACACAATTTCTCAGGTACACCATCTCAAAACAGAACTGATTTCTTTTGGATGGTTTATGAACTAGAGCCTGTTTTATTAGGTTTATGAGGTTTGCAAACATGTATAGGATATGGTTATGGAGGAAAAAGAAGGCCATGGAATGCCAGAAGTACAGGTTATGACATTATTGAGTAAAATTCAAATACGGTTGAGAAAATTACAATGAGCATTCACAACAGCATATTTTGAAACAGTGAAGGTCATTCCGAGAAACTTTTTAAAACTTGTAGTTGCAGTGAAACAAAGAGAATGATAAATAAATTTGCACTATCAATGAGAGTAACAATAGCTGGCAAATTATTGCCATTGTAAGCTACTAAGGGAAACATTACAATTTTTAGTGGTTCTAGTCTAGCCAAAATTAAGCACATTAAAGTCTCACTGATTTTCAAGTGAAATAATCAAATAAGGTTTTAACCTTGGCTGGATTGTGCTTGGTGGATGTTTAATTGTTTTGTTTTGCTAAACAAGTTTCTGTTATAAAACATACTGGGCATGGGTGTGGTTCATGTGTCTTGAAGGTTCCCTTTATGCCTTGGTCAAGCGGAGAGGGAGGGCTGGTTGAGGATTTATTAATCAAAATATTTATATCCCGCCTTTTCTCATGGCACAAGGGATAGCAGAGGGACTGATGTAACTGCTCCAAGAGGCCTACGGGATAGTAGGAGGGGTATAAACAGTTCCTGCCTGAGGAGGTCAGTAAGGCCCCCATGTTTCTAGCATCCCACAAATGCGCCATGCATAATAATCTATTATTTGCTTCAGGTTGCAGTAATCCTAGTACACTGCTTATTATGTGCCATCCTATCGATAGCATTGATTTACACTGTGCAATCTCCCTTGCATCTCAGTGAGAAAGGTAGACTATAAATAATGTAAATAAATAAGATATGCTTCACATGCAGAAAAAACGTAGATCCAGTCCCTGGTACGTTCACATAAAGGGTGTCTGGTAACAAGTTCTGGGAAATATCTGCTGTGACCATGACGAGCGGCTGTGACCAGGGGGCGGGGTAGAAATTTAATGAATAAATAAATAAATAAAATAGTTGGAGTGGACTTTGCTCCATAAATGGCAACTTCGTATGTTCAAAATAGTCATTGTTAATAAGAGTACGTTGTCTTGTTTTATCTCTCTATTATTTCCCCCCAATATTTTTGAAGTAACAATGTGCACTTTTTTCTTTTTCCTTTTAAATAGCGGCTACATGTCCCATCAAACGCAGAATGTTGTCAGTGGGATTCTTTTTGGGACAGGGCTTTGGGTGGCCCTTATTTTCACAATGCGCTATACTCTAAAGATGCTGCTTTCCTACCATGGGTGGATGTTTCATGAACATGGCAAACTTTCCACAGGAACCATGATATGGATGGTAAGGATTTTATATAATCTTCTGTTTGAATATGGAGTTGATACACGACTTGCCTGAAAATATCTGTCTTTTTAGAAACTTTGTTGGGGCATATTCAGTATGTTCCTTTTCCATGTCTTCTTCCTCTTCGTATGAATGGAGATCTCCCAGTGCTATTGGGAGGTGCCTGTTCTTTTAACATTTCCCCATCAGTTGCCTTTTCATAGAATGACTCTCAATTTGAATACAGCTTAGCTACTATTTTTTCCCTGTTTATTTTCATTTTTCACAAACAAAAATTCCATATACATTTGCATTTCAAATTAACAGAGAATCTTCCAGAGATTGCTTAACTCTTCAGTTTTTCACTTTGCTAACTTTCTTAAACTTTTTGTACATCTTAGTCCAATATTTATCATATTCTTTTTCACTTTTACCTTGTATAGCGAATGTTAATTTTTCCATTTCGGCAACTTCCATAACTTTATAAATAAGTTCATCTTTTGTAGGTATATTTTCATTTTCCCAGTACTTTGCAAACAGAATTCTGGCTGCCACTAATATATGCATAATTACGTATATTTCATATTTCTTAAATACCTCAGGTAACATATTTAATTTAAAAAATTGTGGCTTCAATTGTATATCTATTTCAAAAATCTCTTCTATCATTCCTTTCACAATTTTCCAAAACTTTTTTGCTTTTTTACATACCCACTAAATGTGAAAATAAGTGCCTATATTTGTCTTACATTTCCAACACTTTACGGAGATATTCTTGTTAAATGTATTAAGTCTTTCTGGTGTAATATGCCACATATACAACATCTTAACAATATTTTCTTTAAAGTTACTTGTTTTTATGTATTTTAAATTTCTAGACCAAAATTTCTCCCATTCTTCAAAATCAATGTTTAGCCCAATATATTGTGCCCATAACTTAGCTAGTATTGATAATAATATTTGAATAGTTAAATGTTCATCACTATTGGTCTACCAGGAAACAGAGCTGTTGAGGACACCTTGAACATCATAAACAGCATGGGAAAAGATGTCAGGATCATCAGACTCAGGGCTTTTTTGGTAGAAAAAGCCCAGCAGGAACTCATTAGCATAATAGGCCACACCCAACTGCAGAAACTCATTAGCCTATTAGGCCGCACCCCTGACAGAAGGGAAGGGAAGGCACCTTTGGCATGCCCGGGCGCCGGGGTGTGTGTGTCGCCCTCCAGGCCTTCCCTCTGTGGCCAGGCACGCAGAGGTTTTGGCTGTAGTGGGTGTGGCCAACTCTGAAGCCAGCTGGAACTCCGTTCCTGTGCGTTCCTGCCCAAAAATAGCCCTGATCAGACCCATAAACCAAATCTCACTTCAGGACTTTTATGCCTTTCCTCCTATGCTGTAGGAGAGGCCCTTTTCTACTTGCTGCTATATACTTTTGGAAAATGGGAGCAGTAGTTGTGACATTATTAACAGGAAGCATTTTAAATGTGAGATGGGGTAGTAGCTTAATGAAATAAAATAGCTTAATAAAAATAGCGTAAAATAGCTTAATAAAAATAGCGTAATGAATCCTGCCTGTGTTCATTGCATGCATTCTTTGACTTAAAAAAGACCAGCTGGAACATGACAGAATAGTCTTTTGAATATTTCCATGGGGAGCAATGTTTGTTGCAAATGAAATGTCTGATAGTTTCCCTCAGATATGGTTCCAAGAGCCTTCTTATTTGAATACAGGTTCTGTCTGAATGGTAAGGTCCAAAGTATTATATCAAGATTGCTTGGCATTTTCATTGGCTGGATTTTTGGCATGTCTTAAAAATACAATACTTTTTAAAAAAAATCTGTTTTATTATAATGCCAAGCTTAAGCAGTGTGAATAACTATGCCTAATTGCTCCTGGATATTGGCTAGAAATTTCTCTTCCATAACAGGAATGGAACCTTTGTGTGTGTGTGTTAAGAAAATACAGGCATGCTGTTGCTTTTGATCTACCAGGACACAAATTCTCAGATATTGGAGATACTTTAACCTAACTGGCTTACTAACAAGGTTGTATCATTTGTTCTCACTAAATAGGGTTCACCAATTTAGTAAGCGTTCTTTATCGCACTATTTTTGTACCTGTGTGTTCCCAAAGTTTATTGAACTTTGCTCTTACTATGAGAACTGCAGCCTTCCATTTGAATTGTGTGCTTTGAGGAAAGGACTTTATTATGCTGTGTTAGAAAGTGCTCTTGCATAGTGACAGGCCTCTCTGAAGGGTACCATGAGTTGATATCCCTCTGTGTTTACAAGATATCACTCTGTGTTGAGAAGAGTGCTGTAAAGTAGTAGCTGTAGGCAGGGCTATTTTTTTAGAAAAAGCCCAGCAGGAACTCATTAGCATAATAGGCCACACCCAACAGCAGAAACTCATTAGCACATTAGGCCGCACCCCCATGTTACCAGAAGTGTGGTTATCCAGCCACACCCACCTTTGGCTTGTTATTCTGTTTACCTTGTTTGTTGTCAAAACCCAGGGCCTTTTTTTGTAGCAGGAACTCCTTTGCATGTTAGGCCACACACCCCTAATGTAGCCAATCCTAATGAGTTTCTGATGTTGGGTGTGGCCTATTATGCTAATGAGTTCCTGCTGGGTGTGGACAAGTTGGGAGCCAGCCGGAACTCCGTTCCTGCCCCAAAAAAGCCCTGGCTGTAGGTATCTGCGTGCTTATATTCGGCTGTGCAGAAATTTCAAGATGCAAACCCTTGCTGGAAAGATACAAACTAAACATAAATCTCCTCAGATTATTCTAGTTGGTAATGAGGTTTCTGTGTCCATGAAGACAACAAATTGATGTCTGAACCCGGCCTTTGTTTCACAAATTTATGGAACAAAGCAGTGACCTTTCTTCCTGCAGTCCTAGGTTCTAGAAATCTTTATTTTCTTGAATATGTAAGATGTGTAACGCAGCTTGTTATATTTCATTTCAGAAACTGGTAAAACTTTTCTCAGGTCCTAAACCAATGCTGTACAGTTTCCAGACGTCTCTGCCGCGCCTTCCTGTTCCAGCTGTTAAGGACACAGTAAATAGGGTATGTTGTATAGCTTGAAACTCTTCCCCTCCAACTTAAATCCAAAGGAACCAGGGACTTAGATTTGCTTTTTCTGTGAAACATGTATCAAACAAAAAAATTAACAGGGGTCCCTGCCACACGGGGGGGGAAAGGGACGGGCTGAAGCGCGGCTTTTGAAAGCCGCACCAAAAGAAACACGCCGCGGCGGGATCACATTGATCCCCTGAGCCGCGGCGCATTCCCTCCCCGGCACGATCAGATGCTGGGGGAAGCGACGGAGGGGAACGGGAGACTGCCGAACTGCGCATGTCTGAGCATGCGCAGTTCAGGCAGGAGCCGGGGATGTGCCGGCAGAAAGACGGGCCGGCGATCCCACGGCCGGCCTTGATCCCGTCGGCCTGAAAGAACCACCTAGGTAGGTGGTTCATTTCTTATGCGTCTCTTCGGGGGAAGGGCTGGATCAGGGACGGGTGCGAAAAGCTGGCCAGATGTTGCTGTGGGATCGTGCCCGTTTACTGCGGCCCTGATCCGGCCCACTCCCGGCCCAAAACCCCTCGTGAGAACAGGGCCAGGATGTGATTAACTTGCTTCCAGGCTAAGTTTTGTCTGCGTTCACTTACAATGGCTGCGATCACACAAACTGAATAATCCACTTTCAATCCACTTTCAGTGCACTTTCCAACTGGATTTTGCTGGTTCACACAGTAAAATCCAGTTGGAAAGTGAATTGAAAGTGGATTGAAAGTGGATTATTTAGTGTGTGTGATCATAGCCAATGAAATCAAGGATAGATCTGCTAGCACAGCCCTCTTTTATCTCGTGTTTATACCCCTAAAGGCAGGGTGCAAAGTCTTCAAATTCCCATGTCTATTGTCTGTCTGGATTGTGTAATCTTCAAATGGTTTAGAATTTTAAGATTACATCTTTAGCCAAGTTTGGTCTGATCATTTCATCAGGCAACTAAGCAACACATGTGGGTGATTTCCCACAAGCGCTGCTCCGCGCTCACTCCTCCCTTTTGCCCCGATGGTACGTGCCAATTTCACACAAGCTGCTGCGCGGCCGTATTTTGCCCCGCAGCTTCGTGTGATTTTCCCCGTGTCTACTCAATCCTCAAAAAACAGGATTGAGTAGACGCGGGGGAAAACGCATGAAGCTGCGGGGCAAAATGCGGCCGCACAGCAGCTTGTGTGAAATTGACACGTACCATCGGGCCAAAGAGAAGAGTGAGCACAGAGCAGCGCTTGTGGGAAATCACCCATGATGATTTTGATACATTTTGATTAAATAGGAGAGTAGGGTATCTGCAGGGGGGAGGGCAATGAATCTTATATTTGCTGATCTTTTAATGCACTCTGACACATACGTACATTCAGCAAGTCAGCAAGAAGTCTAGAGTGACTTGTGAGTGATGTTACCCCCTCATTATTTATACAGATATCCTTGTACAAATATAGTAGCAAACAAGTACATGAGCATTTAATAATTAAAGCTAAAGGAGCAGAGTCTGTTCTTGTAAAAGGAATTGGTACAAAATACTTTATTTACATTCATTTCCAAACAGTCTTTGCAAATAGGCCTCGGTTCTGTTAGTCCAAAAGTCATTTAGGACATCTCCTGTGCCCTGGGGCACTGCAGCCTCCAGGGCTACATTATGTTCCTTTCTAGTGGTCTGTTAGGAGCTGCGGTGTCTAAAGTGGTTAAGATGCTGAGCTGCAGGCTGTGGAAGGTCGGTAGTTCAGCAGTTCGAGACCTGAGGGTGCCGCATGACGGAGTGAGCTCCCGTCTCTAGTTCCAGCTGCTGCCAACCTAGCAGTTTGAAAGCAAGAAATTGCAAGTAGATAAATAGGTACCGCTTCGGTGGGAAGGTCACAGCGTTCCGTGCGCCTTGGTGTTTAGTCATGCCGGCCACATGACCACGGAAACGTCTTCGGACAGCGCTGGCTCTTCGGCTTTGAAACGGAGATGAGCACCACAACCCTAGAGTCGGACTCGACTGTCTTTCGGGCAAGGGAACCTTTACCTTTACCTTTTAGTGGTCTGTTGCTCTAGTGGAGAACAATCCAGGATATTACTGAGTGGTGTTAGCGGGCTTTAGCCAGCTCTCCTTCTCGCTGTCAGGAGTTCAAGTATGAAATTGCCTTGTCCTATACATGTACCATGCTTTTGTGGCAGTCCAGCATTCTGTAGTACGGAGGTGGCTCGCAATACCAACAAACCTCGGTTGAGAAGGGGGCCACTTTTGTTTGTCAAACCATGCAGCATTGGCTGTTGCTGCTCTCTTGTAAAATGTCATTCAAAATACCATATTCACCCGTTGTCTGTGTGTATGGGGGGGAAGGTCTTAATGGGGGATCTCATGACATTAAAACTTCATCTGTTCTTATCAATTCTAGTACTTGGAGTCAGTTAAGCCACTTATGAATGATGAAGAGTTTAGAAGAATGGAAGATCTTGGCAAAGATTTTGCGGTTAATTTGGGACCAAAACTACAGTGGTACTTGAAACTGAAATCCTGGTGGGCTACAAACTATGTAAGTAGATGAGTTAAAATTCTTTTGTGGAAGCACATGATTTAAGAACCTCTTATTACTGCTGTAATTCTTCACGTCCTTTGTTTAAAGAGGTCATTTTTCAATTTACCCAAGAGCCAGCTGGGAGGCGACTCGAACAAATGAAGCTGCCCTATACTGCATCAGATCATCAGTCCATTACAGTTAGGATTGTCTGCCTCAGACTGGCTCCAGGGTCTTAGGCAGAGGCCTGTCTTGCACCGCCTACTACAAGATTCTTTAACTGGAGGTGCTGGGGATTGAACCTGTGACCTTCTGTATGCCAAATAGATGCTCTGCTACTGAGCCACAGCCCTTTCCTGTAATAATGGTAGCCCTGTGATATCACTACTTGATAGGGAGGGGCTGGTAAATGGAACTACTCTGGGATTCCTAATGTTGTTAATACTGCTGCTTACTCTCAAAAGCCTGCTAATATCTCCGTTTATTTATTTAAAACATCTCTAAGGCACTTTCCCCCAAGGCAGCAAACATCAAAACATTTCAATACTAAAACAACATTTAAAATTGAAAAGTACTGAGACTTACTAGTGATTTCAGCTCTCATACTTTAATTCCAGTGCAGAACAATACAAACCTACCGGCTTGCAGGCCGGTTTACAAAGGCACACAACCCACACCCCAAACACACCCCTACACCAGTGATAGGATATTTACAGTGGCCGAGAGTTCCATAGGCTCTCGGCCGGGAGCCTAGCCCACCGATTGGTGCGGGCTAGGATCCGCTTGGCCCATTGTTCCTGGGAGCGAAGCTCGGTCGCTTTGCATGACCGCGTGGAGACCAAGCCTCTCACGCGGTCGGAGATGGATACATTACAAAAATAAAATATATAAAATGATTCTATAAAATCATATAAGCACCAAGACCAGGGAGGCGGGCCCAGAACAGTTGTGGCGTACACCAGACAAAGAAGTCTTTACCTGCTGGTGGAAGACAGCAGTAGAAGGAGATAGATTACTCTTCCTGGGGAGGGAGTTCCTCTCAAGGTCGGGCCTCGTTTGTTATAGACTGTTGTCCAGCCAAACTCATGCTCTGTTGCATTAGGGGTTAGCTACTTTCTCGGTCATGCTTATTCCGCTGTTTCATCTACAAGTATTCTGGGCTTCACTGCTCTTTATCTTCTCTGCTAGGAAGGGGGGGGAGTGGATGTGTGTGTGAATGTCTGCTTAAGCTTGAATAGCGCCAGCTTGCAGCAGTCTGCAAGACTCTGGGAAGTGTATGATCTCAGCATCCAACATGACCTTGTAACGCGGGGAGCTTCTAGATAATGTAACTATTAATTTGCAGGTGCTGGGGTTGGCCATAAGGGCAGGCTTGGATCTTTGGCAGGCTGAATGAGACTATTGATTGGGTGGTTGGCATAGGGGGGATGTCCCGTTTGTAGTATAGGGTCAGAACTGGCATCTGTAAACATATCTTGCTGCTACAAGAGTGATGGCTTCTCATTTGATGCGATGAGCTTGATTAGTAATAAGCGTTTTAGGTTCCAGAGTTTTGGTGCTGTGACAGAGGAGGTCATTGACCGCATTTTAAAACTTTTCAAAGAGGCAACTTTGGGAGATGACGACATGATATTCTGCCTGTCTTCCAATCTGTTTCTCTCCTCCGTGTTCCAGTTATTTATTAAGTAGCAAAGAAATGTCCACAAAGCTGTGCTATGTAATTCTTGACCTTCATGGTGAAAACAGCTGATGGCTTCTCATTTGATGCAATGAGCTTGATTAGTAATAAGCGTTTTAGGTTTTCAAGAGCGAATAGTGCAATCTTAAGCAAGGTTACTCCTGCCAACCTAGCAGTTCGAAAGCAAGAAATTGCAAGTAGATAAATAGGTACCACTTCAGTGGGAAGGTGACAGCGTTCCGTGTGCCTCGGTGTCTAGTCATGCCGGCCACATGACCACGGAAATGTCTTCAAACAGCGCTGGCTCTTCGGCTTTGAAACGGAGATGAGCACCACAACCCTAGAGTCGGACTCGACTGGCTTTCAAGCAAGGGAACCTTTACCTATTAAGCAAGGTTACAACCTTTTAAGCCCATTGACTTCAATGGGTGTAACTCTGTTTAGGACTGTACTGTAGATGTCTAATCCATTTGAGACTGTGATGATATCCTAGTGATCAGAGGACCTTATTTAATTGATGACATTTGTAGATTTGTGAACTAAATCCTGTTTGTTCTTTTGTAGGTTAGTGATTGGTGGGAAGAATACATTTACCTTAGAGGACGTGGCCCAATTATGGTTAACAGTAACTATTTTGCAATGGTGAGTAAAGGAATCCATTTTGGGGTGATTATCATACCTCCCATGATAGACAAAGATTACAAAGTAGAGAGCCAGTTTGGTGTAGTGGTTAAGTGCGCGGACTCTAATCTGGGAGAACCGGGTTTGATTCCCCACTCCTCCACTCGCACCTGGCTGGATGGCCTTGGGCAAGCTGTAGTTCTGATAAGAGCTGTTCTTGAAAAAGAGCCGTTTCTGTCAGAGCTCTCTCAGCCCCACCTGCCTCACAGGGTGTCTGTTGTGGGGAGGGGAAGGGAAAGGAGTTTGTAAGCTGCTCTGAGACACCTTTGGGTAGTGAAGGGTGGGGTATAAATCCAATGTCTTCTCTTCTTCTACAAAGAGCAGTGCTCATCCAGAGACCAACTTGGGGTGGGGGGAAAGCTTGTGGAAATGCTTTTTTTTTAGGACCAACCAAAATAGCACAAAACCATGATTTTCGTCGTGGTCCCTGTGCACTCCCACACTTGGGTTTTGGGCCTGCCCACGAACCCAACCTCATAGATATTGAAGAGATAGCCTTAGACTTTTTACCTCTGCTCTGGGGAACAGGCTGCTACTGAGCATGCCTGGAGGTGAGGAGGAACCCCCGTCCCTGCTCAGTTTCTTTCCTGCCGCCACCTCCTCCAGACCTCATTGCATGTGCTCCTCTCTTAGTTACCTCAGACCAACTTGTCTCTTCGGATTGTCTTCATTTTCTCTTCGTTTCTTCTTCTCTTTGTCGAATAACTACAAAATTTTTTCGTGAGTGTGGACTTTCATCTCTCTTTCACTCCTCCCCCCCCCCCTCCCCACCCTGGTGGAGTCTAATGGGGAAAGCACCTTTTTAAAAAGTTGTTGAAGCTGTGAGGCAAAATTACCATCTATGGACAGCCATTCCCTTTGCCTTTTTTGCTGGGGGGAAAGTCACCAGGTCGACTCTTGTGCTCACTGCAAGTAACTTTGGTGTAGTGGTTAAGTGTGCGGACTCTAATCTGGGAGAACTGGGTTTGATTCCCCCACTCCTCCACTTGCACCTGCTGATGTGACCTTGGGTCAGTCGCAAGCTCTGGCACAGCTGTCCTTGAAAAAGAGCAGTTTGTGTCAGAGTTCTCTCAGCCCCACCCACCTCACAGGGTGTCTGTTGTGGGGAGGGGAAGGGAAAGGAGTTTGTAAGCCGCTCTGAGACACCTTTGGGTATAAATCCAATCTCTTCTTCTTCTTCTTCTACTAACTTCAGTAAACAGGCCAGGAAAAAAGTGTGGCCGGTTTGCGGAGCTATCTTGTAGAGGCCTCACTTTGCCTTCAGATGTCCCATTTGTCGACGGCTCAGGCCTTGCTGCCTCCCCTGTGAGGGGAGATTTGGCTATGTCGGCAGCTACCCCCAAACCGAAGCATAAGTCCAGCAAAAAGGAGGAAAGCTCCCTAGAGTCGACAGTATCGGCCACCCCCTTGATGGGAAAGCACAAGTCCAATAAGTTGAGGAAATGCTCCTCAGAATTGTCCTCTGAGTCCTCGAGACTGAAGTCTTCGAAAACGTCTGCCGATGTCGTCCCAATGACTTCGACAGCCCCTTCAACTTCAACTGCAGAACGGGCACCGGTTTTGGTTTCAACCATACTCAAACCCGATGTCTCTCGGGCTATGATGGTTCGCCCATCAGGGGATCTGCCTGATGACATTCACCTGCTGCAAATTGTCACTATTCCATCTCGTTCACCATTGATCTATAGCCATCCTCTGTATGACCTTCTTGAGTTTGACCATCCTCGACCAGAGTGACTGGTTTTCAGCTGTTCTACCTCCATCACTGCCTAGTCATTCCCGTTGCCCACTTGATCGGCAGCCTAGCAGATCTCAGTCATGGTCTGTTTGTCGGGACTGGAGACACCATCAAAGTTGGTACTCATCGGTCTCGAGATCCCCTTCTCCACGAACATATGAGACACAATATTATGCCAGTCCATTCCACTCTTGTGCACATTCCAGGTCATCCCATTTTGATTATCACCACCAACCTTCTGCCTGACATTCCCAGAGGTGTGAATGCCATTCACGGGATGTTTCAATTCCAGCTGCATTATCTCGACCCACTGGAAACGTGGTCTCGTCTGCTTTGGGCGCTCCGCTTCCCTTGCCACAACCTTAAGAGCCTCCACTTTATATGCCAAATGACCTCTCCAAACCTGACCACTTCACATCAGAGTTGTCGGATCATGAATCCAAGGCGCCGGATTCGGAACGGGGAGCCATTGCCCACTCCTCCAAATTCTGATTTGGAACATTCAGGCTCTCTTTCATCATCGGAGGGCTCTAAGACTTATTTGGAGCTCATAGTTCGTATGTGTGAAGCTCTCAACATACAATTGACTAGCGAGGCTCCGAAGGTCACTGATTTGGTACATACGTTGGTTCAAGTAGACCTTTCTTCAGGTGCCTTGCTCCCTGTTCACCTGGACACTTTGAAAGAGGCTTGGGATAAACCTACATCCATATCTCCAGCCCCCAAATGCTTTGATTCTCTATATAGGAGCCAACCATGCGAGGCGAAATCCCTGTTCTCTCAACCAGCGCCTAACCCCTTGATAGTACAGTCTCTATCCAGGGCTAAACAAGTTTGCAGTCCTGCACCAGCTGACCCAAACTTTGTTGTTCATCAGAACCAAGCTTAACATCAACAGTGCACCTTTTTGTCTTGGAACAGGGCTGTCACCGCATAGGATTTTTTCTCCTCCCCCACCCCGAGAGTGGAGTCCCTTCAACACCTGTTGGGGCTGATGGCAGCAACAATGTTACCCTCCCTCTTCTCCTGCCTCCTCCTGGCTGAATGAGGGCCAGAAGCAGGGGGCCGGAAGCGGGGGGCGGGGCTTCGTCATGTGCCCCCCCGTACCTCACTCGGGGGAACTGCGATCCCCCCCGAAATGACCTCTGCTCTTCATTGAAAGTTCACCTTTCTGCCATTTCTGCATTTCATAATTCTGTTGCTGGCACTACGGTTTTTCCTCACAGTGCGTCCAAATCCTTTTTGAAAGGCATGTTGTGGCTCCATCCACCCGTTAAGCCTTTGGTACCGTTGTGGAGCCTTTCGTTAGTGCTTTCTAAGTGAATGGGAAAGCCTTTTGAACCTGTGCCGCTTCACCTTTTGTCTTGGAAGATGGCTTTTCTTGTTGCAATTACTTCTGCAAAATGAGCAAGTGATATTTATGCCTTCCACCTTATACCATCTTTCACAAGGAAAAAGTAGTGCTTCAACCAGACCCTACTTTTTTTGCCCAAAGTGGTTTCTTCCTTCCAACTCTCTCAACCGACGTCCTTGCCAGCTTTTTGTACGAACCCTTCTGACGACGGTCGGCAGGCTCTCCACACCAATGCTCCCTCTAAGCTGTGGAGTCTTGTGAGCAAAAATTCTACTTTCTGAGCAACTGGCATTAAAGTTGTGAGTGTGCGATTTGGCCACTGCATAAATTAGTTTGCTCTGGAGCCATCCTTTCCTGAGCTAAGACAAAAACGTGCAAGCCAAAGGCTAAAAAACTGTGAGCTAGCTCACATTAACTCAGCTTAGAGGGAACACTGCTCCACACCCTGGACATTCGCCGGGCACTATCTTTCTACTTGGACAGAACTCGCCCATTTCTCCAGGACCCTCAACTGTTTGTGGCCTATGGTGCCCCTCACAAGGGCCGCAAAATTTCTGCACAACGATTTGCGAAGTGGGTGACTTTGACTATCACGGTCTGCTATGAGATAGCCGGGGAGCCTTTACCTGAGATGGTTCGTGCACATTCCATCAGGGCCGTGGCTGCGTCTTCGGCTTTCCTCAACAGTGTGCCTCTAGAAGACATCTGCGCTGCAGCAGATGCATGGATCTACCCCCTCCACTTTCGTGACACACTACGCGCTCAATGTCCGGGCTTGGAAGGATGTGTCCTTTGGCTGTTGGGTGTTGAAGTTAATTTTCCATTGAAGTCCCTGTCGTGGGGTGTCAGGTGAGCTTGTACAGGTACCAACATAAAATTAGGTACTCTGTTTCACTCTCCTTTTGGGTGCTGATATTTTGTTGTCTTCGAATGCCAGCACCCTCCTTCCAACTGTTTTAGCTTGTTAATCACCCAAGTGTGGGACTGCATAGGGACCACAACGAAGATAAATAGGTTGTTTACTTATAACTGATGATCTTTGAGTGGTCACCTGTGCAGTCACACATGCCCACCCAGCCTTCCCCACTGTTGGCTTTTCCATATACTTCCCTCTGGTTGGCCTTGCTAGCGGCAGTTGGAAGAAACTGAGCGGGGGAGGGGCTTTCTCCCAGATCCAGGCATGCTCAGTAGCGGCCTGCTCCCCAGAGCAGAGGAAAAAGCCCATCAAAAAGTCTAAGGCTAGCTCTTCCGCCTCTCAGCTGTTTCCTTGACCTTTTCTGCAGTCCTTTTAAATGTCTGGTTTAAAGGGACTGCAGAAGAAGGGGGGAACAGCTCATAGACAGAGAGCAGTTTCTTAGCCTCTCAGCTGTTTCCCCATCTTTTCTGCAGTCACTTTAAACCAGCCTGGTTTAAAAGGATTGCAGAAGAAGCAGGGGTGGAGCTGATAGGGGAGGAGCAGTCTCCCAGCCTCTCAGCTGTTTCCCCAATTTTTTCTAGAGTCCCTTTAAACTGGGCTGGTTTAAATAGACTGTGGAAGATGTGGGGGGGAACAGCTGATAGGCGGGGAACAGTCTCCCCACCTCTCAGCTGTTTCCCCGATCTTCCCGTCTCAGGAAAATCTGGGAATTTTTTCTGGGATCCCCCCCCCACCCCCCCCCCCG